ACAATTTCTCCCAAGATCATTTCAAAATGGCTGAACGATAATATCTCAAATTCAAAGGAGTCATAGAAGCAATACTCGAATTGGTAGAGGATGGCGTTTGGGTAAAAGAGATTCCACGATCTAAGTTATACGTGGGGCCAATTGGCCGACAATAGCAACAAATTCAAGGGACGCCATGAAAGAGGTGGAGGAGACGATGTAAGGGGAGGGCATTTCAATGCATGGCCGAGCATGGCCAGGGCCCCTACCTTCTCGCTTGCTTCGTTGCCGACGGCAACGGCGGCTTCAACCTCTACAGTTGAGCTCAGTTGTCTTATTAGAGTCAACCATTGTTGTCGTTCTCTCATGCTGCCATAATCAACGAGAGCCAAGGTAAGGAGGTGGGTCATCGAGAAAGAAGGGAGAAGGTGAGATCTGGAAGGGTAAAGATGGAAGCCAGCATGATGGAAGTGAGTTCCATCAGGGGCATGATGGAACCGAGTTTCATTATTTTTTATGGAAATGGGTTCCCTCAAGAATTGGATTCACACATACCATTTTCATGCTTCCACTTCTACTTTTACTTTCACTTTCACTTCCACTTCCCTAGGATTAGTTCCAGCATACCAAACAAGCCATTAAGGTTGTGCCAATGTTTTTAGGGAGAATGACAGATAAGGATCTTATGAGAATATTAATGTTAAATTAGGACTTTTCAACACTGATGTTCCTTAATTTCAGTACTCCTTCTGGCATGTTTCAGTACAGAAATCCCTAATTTGACATTAATATTCTTACAAGGTCCTTACTTGTCATTCTCCCATCTTTTTAAGGTAGATGGCGTAGGAAGTGTGTGTAGTCATGAAGGTCTCATGAGTAGAGACAATCTCCTTTATGAAATGCTTGCGTTCATTGCAATGAGCTACGACTTATTCATTCTTGATATTTGATTGCATGTAATCTATCTCACTGTATTGAATATTAGGTTTTGTGAACAAAAAAATGAGTAGGGAGGGAGAGAGGAATGAGGTGGAATACATGGTGATAAAAAGAAATCACGTAGCATGGATTTTGATAAATTGATCACTGTTGATCTAATAAAGTAATATTATGAATATTCCTACTTTTTTTTTACTTTAAACTACTGGGTGCTCTTGGTTGACGACTTCGTGAGCATTTTGCCCCCTTTTAGTATCCATTAGCAAGGATTGACATGTGGCAAGTACACTCAGCATCATAACCAGCATTTAACATTAGAAACTAATGATATTAGGACAAGTTAATGATTTGATCATTTTTACACTAAGTTTGGTAATGTTATGGGTGTTATTATCTTCTTTTTTTTTCATTTTAAGCTATTAGATGCTTTTGGGCGACCTCTTGATGAGTATTTTTACACTTTAATTCTTTCATTTTTTTAAAAAACCTATATGTAATATAATAATGAGGGAATGAAAATAAAGTTTTAAAAGGATGAATTAATGATAGTTAAATCTTCAACAAAATTTTCTATAAAATAAATTATAAATATCAATTTAAATAGTTATAAACAAAAATTTGAATTGTAAATTAATTTTTATATTTAAAATTTAAATATCATATTTATAATTAAAATTTTTAAATTTATAACTGTTTGAACTGATATTTATAATAAATTTTTTAAAAAGATTATTAATAATTTAACTGTTATTAATTTCTTCTTTTAAAATTTAACTATCGTCCTCCTTATCATAATTGATGGTTTCCTTTTGGTCAAATTAAAGGACTGATAATAAATAATTCTTTTCCTCGGACAGGCATGTGACTACATGTGATGTGATTGGGAATGAACATATGTATGTGCATTGTGCATTATCTTATTAATATCTATTTTTTTAATCAAATATTAATATATGATTAACTTCCGTGACGTTACTAACTTTAATATATAACAATTGCCTGTGTTGAAACTTTCGTCTATTGAGAGGGATGGCAGAACACGCCCATAATGACAAAATATTATTACAGCATACGATAATATGACAATATTTTTTACGGTGAAAGGAAACGAGATGGTTACTAACTAGCACCCATCATGAATTTTGATAACTAGTTAAGCTAAATCATTTTAATATAATGAGAACATTAAATTTAGGTTGTATTAATTATCATGATTTCATAGTTAAATGATAAAACATTTCGCCTGCGCTAGAAATACATTGTTTCAATAATAATAAATTGCTTTTAACTAAATCCAATCTTTTTATCCTTATTGATAATCATATAGAAATTGGTTCATGAGGCGATGTAGGAGATGTTTCCCATAAGCATCATCTTAATTTTTCACTTCAGTATGCATTTCGCTGTGATTTATTTGAGATTTTATATCATACTTTTTTGTGATTGTCCCTACTCAAGAGCCATATGATTTGGCTCACTGTCCATCTGTTCCTCACGCATCTCTAGCTAAGGTCTTGTCTCTTTGGAGATCTCTAAATCTTTGTTATTTATAAAAGGAAATTCATACTTTGGGAGGCATTTACTTTTTCTTCATTTGATCTGGCATAACAAAAATCAAGCTCTTCATATATGGATAATTACTCCAATTGCATATGTTATTCAGCAATTTAATGAATAATATTTCTTTTTAAAAGGTGCCTATAGATGGAATAATGGATGTAATGTAAGTGTGGGGATTTGCATAAAATCCACGCTTGATGAGCCATAAGTGAGATGTGACATAAATCTTGTAACGATGAGTTGATCAGAATTCAAAATTAATTTGATTAATTTTTAATTGAATTTTTAAAAGATAAGTAATCATCCATAATAATGATAATTATTTCAATTAATTTATTTTCTTCATAATGAGGTGAATTATTATGGTTTGGATTTTCTTTTTCAGACGTGGTCTTTCTCCACTATAAATAGAGACAGGTGGCTAAAGGAAGCACATCCTTCGAATGAATAGTTCTCCAATTCTTTCTCTCCCTCCCTCACTCTCCCCCCCTCTCTCGTGCATATGTTGTGCATTATAATCTAGACTCTAATAATAGTCTACACTCATTTGGATAATAAGGTAGACTTAGCTGCTTCTGAATTTGGTAAGACTCTGACTCGATTTTATCTTTTGGTATGTTATTTATGTTTAATATTCTTTCAACAAGAAAATTTATAAATTATAAGGTCATGGAATTAAGATCTCCAATTTCTTCTAGTGAACCTTGCACTTATTTTTATTTTCCAAGCTAGAAAATTTAATTTACTGTCTTCAAAAGAAGAAAGATAATTTACTATGCTGTATCTTTCTCTTGCAACCATGATAGGTTGATTGAATTGCTTCCCCGTAAATTTAAAGCTATTTTTGTACATCTCCTCTTGGCTTTCTATATCCATAGCCTCTTGATTTGGATTAAAAACTTCTTTTAAAAACATTTAGGAGATCTTGCAAGTCTAGAAAATTTGAAGATTAAACATAACAAAAGAATTTGCTTCTGCTTTAATTGACAACATCTTGTGGATTCGGACAATTTAAAGCTTTTGCATGACTTTAGCAGTTATATTGTTGATAAATGAGGTCCTAACATTTTGTGTTTTCCAATTTCTTCTAGTTATTTTAAGAGGCCTGTTTTAAGACATTGTTTGTAGACTAACATTTTACTATTGTTAATATATTGCTCTCTCTTTTTTTTAATAAAAAAACTCTTGATAACAGTCCTTTGTGATGTCGCAAGAGATGGTACTGGCCAGATTGCCTTGTAATTCTATATGCAAGGTAGGGTGTTATAGAATTTAAACTAATTGAGTTATTAGTTTATAGTTTAATAGCCAAATCATGATTAAAGTGATTGAGAATAAATTAACACATTTCTCCCTCATGTTGGAAGGGACACTTTATCAGTTCTTAATTTTTTTCTCATGTCTAATTCTCAAAACAATGTACTACATTACATGATTTATTTTTCCCAAAATATATGTTAAGGCTGGATTGTCTAGGTTTCTTGAGAGTTTGCTTGGTTTTCCTTATTGCCTTATTAGTGTTTGTAATTAATGAAATTTGTCGTTTTGGCCCAAAAATTCAATCACATGCACTTGTTATAAATTATTTATTTTGACTTGATTTCAATTATTTACATGCATTATTCATTTTATTGGGAGTAAATCATTCACTGAAAAGTGAAAAAATTGTGACCTCATCATCAATTACATAAAAAAAAAAACAAAGAAATAGTAATTACTTACTCATTCTACTTTTGCTTGATATTAATAATTAAATTTTTTTTAACTAATTTCATGAATATTCAGACAATCTAAAAGTATAAAACTAATTTTTTTTACCGACAAAATATAAATTTAATTCAGAAGAGGGCGATTGTTTTCCAATCTATAGCAATAAAAATCCTAGATGGGCTGATCGGAGATCTGGCGCGAAAAATAAAAATAAAAATAAAAGCCACCTCTATAGTCTATAGTAATAATTACATTTTATGACGGCTGCGGTTATAACACGTGTGAACAATTGAACACTATCCAATGTTTTTTTTATTTTTTTTTATAAATCACTTCTAATTAACCTATTTAAATCAATGTGAATTAATTAAAATAATATAATTTTAAAAATAAATTATTTTTAAATTTTATTATTGCATAACAAATAGTGATTTCATATATAGAAAGAGTTTTTTAAAAATTAAAATATTATAATTTTTTTTTAGAATTTATAGAAGGATACTTTTAAAATTGTGCATTAAAATTTATAAAAATAAAAAAATGACTTACATAAAAAAGAAAACTTCTTAAAATATAACTTATCAAAATGACCGGAGGAAATATCTATAAGAGCCAGAATGCGCGACAGCACTTTCCCAGAGAAATTCACGAACAAAATCACCTATTTTAGTATATTATTTGCCCCCTTTTTTTTTTAGCAAAGTATATTATTTGCCATTTAATATACTTTTTTTCTACTAATATTTCAAATTTTATTTTTTAACCATTGGAACCTACTTAAATGTCAAACAATAACTCCTCACCTCTTCACGTCTCTCACTCCCACACCTCCCTTCTTCATTCACTCCGGTTTCCCCCAAACTGCATACTCTTTCTTCCCATGCTGGAACTAAGTGACCGACTGGCCGGAAGATCCAACAACAGAGCCAAGTAATTTCAGAAATTAGGGTTTTCTGTTGCTGAATTGCAAGAATGCCGCTGGCTAGGTACCAGATAAGGAATGAGTTCAGCTTAGCGGATCCGGAGCTATACCGAGCTGCCGATAAAGATGATCCAGAAGCTCTTTTGGAAGGCGTCGCCATGGCTGGACTCGTCGGCGTCTTGCGCCAGCTCGGCGACCTTGCTCAGTGAGCTCCTCTACCTCTCCTTAATTTTCTTCCTTTCGTGATTTTGACCATGCTTCCGCTCTGGAATTAAACTGGTTGCTCCTGCACTTTCCGTGATTACATTTATTTGAATGGGTGTTGGTTTGGAAACCATCTAATTTGATACAATCTCTGTCTTTAACTTTATACTGACCGTCATTTGACTTACTGGAGTGAGCTTTAATTCGGCAGGAATTTGTTTTGTGCTTCTGCTTTTAGATTGTTCGATTGTTAGATCAATGACCGGCTGGGTTCATTTCGGAATTGGAATAAAATGGTTCCCTTATTTGGTGCTTGTTTTACGTGGAGAGATTAGCGTTCCACAATATTCTGTCTGACTATAGGATTTTACAACCTATTTGAACTTGTTTCATCTCATGATTCTTAGAATATATTCGCCTTTTTCTCTACAATTTCTTTGCTGCTACAATCTCATGCCCTTCAATTCTTCATTTCTTTGTATGTTGCGGAGTCTTTTTCTTTTTTGTACATTCATATATATATTTTTTTAAATGGAACTTGGGCAATCCTGGCAGATAGACTAGTTCAAATTCTGGGGTTTAGAATATGTTGTGTATGGCCACGGAAAGCTTATACTAGTTAAACTTCTAAAGGACTGTATTTGTATGGATTTTTTTGAATAAGCCTGGACTAAAATTCTCGAACCTGCAGAGTTCTTGGTAACATTTGGCGTTAAGCGCTTCGATCATGTTTTGTGAATAGTATTATCTTCTGTTTCTTTTGTGGTAGAATACCTTCGACACTTTTATCATTGAGAGTTTCCAAAATCACCGAAGCTGGAAACCTGTTACCTGGCAAACTGGTTCTTTGAGTTAGATCTGTCAAATAAGATCCACTTTTCTAACTCTATGTCATAGGCTCAAACTAGATTAGTCTAATGAAATACTGAGACTGAGTTTCCACTCATCAAGTACATCTCAAACTCTTCTTATTCTATAAGCATGTCTCTATCGTCGTCATCGTCGTCGTCATGGTCATCATCATTTTGTGATTTGCTGAAAGGCATTACTATTATTTATTGTTTACATTTGATAACATGAATATAAGTCAGAGATATATGAATTCCATTTCATGTCAAAGGCAGATCCTTTCTATTTTTGTTTTCTTCGTTTTTTTCATTTGATTTAAATTTCAATATATTTATTAATCAATAATTATACTCCTTCCTTCCCAAATTATAAATCAATTTGAGACAATATTACACATATCAATAAAGTTCAATAATGACACTTTACAGACTTATTTTTTCAAGAAAAAATTATAAATTTCCAACAATACCCTCCATTAAATATAATTTTAAATCTACAATCATTTCAATTCTCTCTTAAAATAGCATCATTAATAAAACTTTATTTTTATCAAATTATGTTATATTTTGGGACAAATAAATGCCTTTAATGTTGTCTTATAATTTGGGACAGAGGGAGTATTTGTTAATCAGTGACATATATTTATTAATCAATATATAAGAAGTTGCCAGAAAAAGAAGGCATACACACAGACGCAGAAATTGCAATGCTGTGGACCATTTTATAATTCAGTAACAATATATTCCTTTGGCGGGTATGAGAGGGAGCGTTATGGCTCAATCTTAAGTCTTCAATCCATAGCTTGCTAGCCAGGTGCTGTTAGGTTCTATGTATTTAACTATATATTTTGGTTAGGTTTGCGGCTGAGGTCTTTCATGACTTGCATGAAGAAGTAATGGCCACTGCTGCAAGAGGTCATGGTCTTATGGTTCGTGTTCAGCAGCTCGAGGCTGAAGTTCCTTCTCTTGAAAAGGCTTTTTTGTCCCAGACTCATCATTCATCTTTTTTCTCTAATGCAGGTTATATTACTTACTAGTTGTTAGAGTCTTTTGGTTTATTTTGTTCTTATCAAAATAATATGAAAAATGTTATTCTTGTAAACTTTTTATGTCATACTTGTAACCTTTAGGTACTAGAGTCCTTTGGTAAGTTTCTAAAATAATTGGTTATTGGATTGCAGGGATGGATTGGCATCCTAATCTTCGTTCTGAACAGAATCTTATTACCCGAGAAGACTTACCTCGATTTGTAATGGATTCATATGAAGACTGCCGTGGGCCCCCAAGATTGTTCCTCCTGGACAAGTATGGGGAACTGATTGTTAAATAAATTATTTTAAAATAAGCATTATGTAATATGTATTTGAAATGTTCTTTTTTGGCTTCTAATAGATTTGATGTAGCTGGGGCTGGGGCTTGCTTGAAGCGATATACTGATCCATCATTCTTTAAATTGGAGTCATCTTCATCTAAAGCTGCAACTGCTGAAGTGCACAGGGAAAAGAGGAGCCGTAGAGTCAAGGTATTAAAGTGCCATGCCCCCCTTTTTTGTTTTGGGCCACTGGAAATTTCTTTTTAATGACTTTACTTTCATGATATATTGCTTTATTGCTGGCTGTGCCTTTGGTTTTCCTTAATAAAGTAATCCTAATTGGCTTCATACTGTGGTATTGATCTTAATAAACAAGTGAGATAAGAAGACATTGGAACTAGTTCTGTATGGTTATCATAGAAGTTAGTTGATTCTGCTATTTCTGGTTATAACAGTGTAAACATAACTGAAGCTTCTAAATACTCTGACTGGTATTGGTGAGAACCAGAAGGTAAGTGGATGATTTTGAGAATTCCTTTGAGAGAATAACTTGTCTTTGCCTAGAGTCTTGGTATCAGGTTTATTGCTGTTCCATTTGTAATCATATTGGAATGCTGTGAATAATGTGGTCTGTGCTCAGGCAATGCCTTAGATCTATCCACATATCAGTGTCTAGCAGACAAGGTTTTGGCACTACCTTTTCAATTTTAATTGTTCATGCTAGGATTGCAATGCCTTGTGAATTGCACTTGAAACAATTCTATGCAATGGAATCTTGAATGATCACAACATTGAAGATGTGATTATTTGTTTATTTCCTGCAGAAGAAAGCAGCACGATTGAGGAATGGTGAAACCCCTGAAGTTGTACCAACACATGCAAAGTGAGTTCCAGAGAAACCTATTTTGGTGTTACTAATTTACTAATTGGGTTTTTAAATGCAAAAAAATCCTTAAATGTTTGAGTAGCAACTCAAAATAATTTTTTTATTGCAGATTGCATCAATTGCTTCTTGAAGAACGTGTTGAAACTGCTTATAGGAATCCTGCACGTCTTGTCAAGTTGAAGAAAAGACAATTGAATAGATCTGGAGTTGGAGCAGAAAATGGGAGAAGTTACATGGAAAAATTTCTGGAATCTCCTTCACCAGATCATAAGATGGTTAGGGAAACTTCAATTGTTCCATTGCCTGTGAAATCAATGTCAGAAGATACTAATGAAGCAAGGATTAAAATACTTGAGATTACTACGGTCAGTCCTGTGAAAAGGTTGTCAGGAAATGAAAACACACTTTCATCTACTAATGTACCAGAATCAGAAGTAAAGCCATTATCAGAAACTAAGATGGAGACCAATGGAGATCTTGTGAAGGTGCATGAACAAGTGCTTGCCAATGTGACAGGTGAATTGTCTTATAAGAAGACGCCTGCTGAAACAGAATTACCAGATGGTGGACAGAGGAAAATAGAAGCCTGCTTAGATGGTTACCGTTCTGATGATGCCACTAGTGAGGTTGACAATTACGTGGATGCTTTAACTACAATGGAGTCAGAGATGGAAACAGACAATGAGTATGGACCCAAGAACAGCTGCTTGAATGGTCAAAGGCTAATAGATTCTGATGGCAACGAAGAACATCAGCCACATGCTCAACTATCAATTTCTCAATCATTTGGAGGCTCCTCCATGTCAGATGAAAGTAGTTCATTCAAACAAGACGGAAGTGATGAATGTAATGAACTCCAAGCTCAGTTGTCAGATTCTCAATCAATTGGAACATCCTCCACATTGGAGGAAAACAGTTCATTCAAAAGATATACAGGTGAAGACCATAGGGAAATGCAGGCTCAGTTTTCACATTCTCAATCTGTTGGAAAGTCATCCGCGTCAGAAGAAATTGGCTTGAACAAAAAAGATACACCCTGCTTTTCTCATTCTGAATCTTTCGGCGTCATGGTTGAAATTATTAAATCGGAATCTTTATCACTCTCATCTACTAAATATTGTGAATATGAGATTGAAGATACACATTCTGATAATGTTCCCCATAATGTTGAGTCCCAAAAGCCAGAGTGTAATAAGTTTGTTATGCATGATGATGATGATGATGCAGAGTTTCGGGAAGAAGAGATTTCTGATTCTGGAAGAGCCTCCTCTGATTCACATTTGATGCATTCAACACATTTTGTTTCAGATGTTGGAGCCAACTCATCAATGATCCAACCGGCAGAGTCTCAAATAATTCCAACTTCTGACACAGTTCAGCTCCATTCAACTTTAGCGGATACAGACAGCAAGTGTCTCGTTGAACCTAAGGCTGTTGTTTTGCCTGATGCTGTCTTCACAGTGATTAATGATCCTTGCCCTGTGTCTTCTGAAAAATATCCTTCAAGCAACTTAGATGAAGGTGATCCTTGTGCTCAGTCTGGTGATTCAATACAGAGCTCAAATGATTTAGAATTGGCACCAGTGATCAATCCTACAGGAACACAATTAATTGAAAGACCATCTGACCTTGTTGAAATTCATTCAAGCTTAGCAGATGATGAGGAAAGGAAGTGTCATGTTGAATGTATAGCTGCTGTACCTGATGCTTTCTCCACGATAAAGGAAGGTGCTAGCCCTGTGCCCTCTTCTGAAGAATGTCCTTTGAACAAACTTGATGAGAGTGATGCTTATGTCCATTCTGATGCTTCATTACCAATTTCAAATGACTTGGAATCAACACCAGTCATACCTACAGGGACACATTTGGTTGAAACACCATCTGAGCCTGTTGAACTTGAATTAAGTTTAGCAGATGATGAAGAAAGGAAGTGTCATGTTGAATCTATAGCTGCAACATCTGATAGATTCTCTACAACCCAAGATGGTGCTTGCCCTGGGGTTTCTTCCAAAGGATGTTCTTTGAACTTGGAAAATGGTGACCCATATGTCCATTCTGACACTTCACAGCACATTTCTTATGACTTAAATTTGGCTCCTGTAGATGAATGCAGCAATCATTCTAAGATCGAAATGTTGCAGGATGGGCTTTCAGATGAAAACTATGATGGAAGTTTGGCTGGCAAAGGGGTTAATTCACCTAGGGGGCATACTACTTCTCGGTTCATGGAAGAGTAGACTTGTATTCTGGTGCTGCACTACCAGTTTGTGGTGCAGAGGTCTTAGATTCAAAAGACGAGAGCTGTATTGTTGCTAGTAAACTTGACTGTTGGGATTCATCTCCTGCAGCAGAGGCTCCACCAACAAGTAGCTCGACAGGGGAGCAATTCTCCTATTTTACTCATGAAAGTCATAAAGATGAACCATATTCGGCAGGAGCAGAAGTTATGTTCTCTGATAAGCTATCAAATTCTGGAGAGACATCGAGGATGGATAATGACAATGTAAAAAGTGGATCCACCTGCAGTGTGGATACAGTTGAAGATGATGGGCATCTTAAACAACCATCTTGTGCTGGTTTTGTAGGGCAGGAGAATTGTGTCACTAGATATAATGTTTTCACCGAGAAAGTTCAATCAGAGGATCAAGCTGTATCTGACAATTTACTGGAACCTTTCCCAGGTTCTTCTGATGCTTATCAATTAAAAATAGAATCCAATGAGGCTGAGTCAAGTGAAATTTTCAGAGACATGAATGCAGCGACAAGGAATAATCAGCTGGAATCATCTTCAGATATAATTTCTTCCAATTTTATATCTACTTCACTGAGGGATCCTACACATTTGGAAGAATCTCCTTCTGGTTTTAGTGATCCACATGTGAATGAAATATTTAATGAGGTAGTTGTTAGAGAATCTTTGACAGAATTGGAAGTGCAGAAGGTTGTGAATCAACCTGAAGTTGCTTCAGCTTATGTAGGTTTAAGTCTGAACAGATCGGGATCTCGTGATCTTTCTGATTCAGAAACATTTAATAGTATTCAAGATTCACCTCTAAAGGTAAAATACCATTATATTTCTTCTGCCAATGGTTTATCAATGGTGCCAGAGTTTTCAGAGCCAGGCACTCAGGAATTGGAATCTTCATCTTGCCAGAATAATTGTTTGCCATCATTTTCCAATAACCAGATGGTAATGGAAACTCCCGTGCAGTTCTTACAATCAGAAGCTGGTCAACAAGATGCAGATTTTTCTCTCAGAGTTGGAGAAAATTCTGCCTCAGAGAAATTTCAATCTGAACATATGCATGTATCAAATCAATTGGGGCAAGAAAGAAAATCTCTTGCTGCTTCTGAATATGCTCTTGAAATTCATCTAGATCAACCGTCACCATCCAATTCCTTATCACAGTCAGCTGGAGGGGAGTTAAATGTTGCAAAGCATATCATGGATTCATTGAAACCTCTTCCGGATCCCATTCTCCCGGGATCCAACATCAATCTCGGGGAGATGCCACCTATGCCCCCTCTACCACCTATGCAGTGGAGAAGGGGTAAGGTTCAACATTCTTCACAGAAAGGAGTAATAGAAGTTAGTCAGGCCTCATTCCAACCAATTCAGGCAATTAAAACTGGTGAGAAAGGTCAATTTGGTTTGTTTACTTCTGAGAGAGAGGCCTTACAGTATCAGAATACATTTTTACCAGTCATGGCTTTGGAAGGTGAGAAGGTTCAATATTCTTCTGGATTTTCAGTGGGTGTTCCAGGGCATCCTGTAGCTGTTCCATTGCAATTTCCTTTTATGGTTAATGAAGCAAATGGTCAATATAATTACCTAGTTCTGGAGAGAAGCCAAATGCAGAATCCATTCTTAACACTTCCCATTGTGCCTACTGTCAGGCCTTCACATGGTCTCGTTCTTGCATCAGAGGGAGAAACGGTACAATATTCAAATGCGCACCCACCAACGCTACCTCTTGAATATGCTTTTTCTGGACATGATCCTGTCTCTTCTCAGGAAAAGCTGGCCCAACCACCAAGTCAGCTAATAGAAGAGACAACTTCAGAAGCTAAAGAACCTACGCATTCTGTGAGCAACCTGGAAGTGGAACAAGAAGATCCTTCTGTTACATCCATGCCACCACCAATCATGGAAATTCTGCAAAACAATCACTGTCTACCTCATTCAGAGGGCGAGATGGCATTGTCATTGGGACACGATCCTGTCTCTTCTCAGGAAAAACTGGCCCATCCACCAAGTCAGCTAATAGAAGAGACTACTTCAGAACCTAAAGAACCTACACATTCTGTGAGCAACCTGGAAGCGGAGCCAGGGGAGCAAGAATATCCTTCTGTTACACCCATGCCACCACCAAGCATGGAAATTGTGCAGCACAATCGCAGCCTGCCTCCTTCAGAGGGTGAGATGGCATTATCACTGGATATACCTGCTAATACATCAGCAGAGATTGAGGGTGAAAAAGCAAATGGAATACCAAAAACTAAACTTCCCCGCCCGCGGAATCCTCTAATTGATGCTGTTGCTGCTCATGACAAGAGCAAGGTAATGACCATTTTCTTGGTTTTTCTGAATAAATTATTCTCTCCGGTACTAAATGTAGGAGCTAGATAATTAATTTACAAAATGATGAAGGAAATTAGTTTAGTTAGTTATTTGTAAAAAGTGTGTGTTGGTTTCTCTAAAATACTCCCTTTGATCATTTACATTGGAAACCACCTACTCCCTTTAATATGTGCAATCAATTGGGAAATATGGGGAAAAATTATAAATATGGGAGACACAGTAGATTGAGGCCTTACATTTAGGACCAACAAAAGCCCTTCAATTAGCTCCTACATTTAGGACCAAAGGGAATATTTTATAAAGGTCATAATTCTTGTATAACACGTTTTACTTTGAGCCACTGCAGCTGAGGAAGGTTACTCAACGTTCTAGGCCTGAGGCAGCACCCGAGATAGATGAAAGGAATTCACTGTTAGAACAGATAAGAACAAAGGTTATAGCTCGCTACTTTTCTCCCCTTTCTTGGATTTTGTTTCTAACCTTCTTTTCAGAGTAGTGTTATATCTAAACTTTTTCCTCAGTCCTTCAACTTGAAGCCTGCTGTGGCAACCCGACCCAGCGTTCAAGGTCCAAAAACAAACTTGAAAGTTGCTGCCATTTTGGAGAAAGCAAATGCAATTCGCCAGGTCTCTCCCTGCTTTATTGCGATAAATATCTCTTCATGTCTCCAGCTCTGTATATTGCTTTCTCCACAGTTAGCTGATACATTAATGATTGAAATAGGCTTTGGCTGGAAGTGATGATGAAGATGGTGATGCTGATAGTTGGAGTGATTCTTGAATTTACAACGGAAAGTGTTGGGCATGTGATGAATGTCTTGCCGCCATGGTGGTTGCCTTGAATCATCCGATGTCAAATCCTCACCTATAATAAATAAGAAACCTCTACCGAAGATACGAGATTCTTTACCCTGCTTTATGTTCATGCATGATAAGTGGCCTCTCCCTCCTGACACAAGGATGTATGAACATCAGTGTAGTTTGCGGTTTAGCATCGATCTAGATCCAGATGTGAAAATGACCTCAACAAGTGCAGAGACTCAGGTTCGGCGTGCAAGCGCTGCGCCAATCTATCAATACATTTTTCATGTAAGCATGTGAATATTTGTGTCGTGGGTAGCGTAACTTTTTTAGCCCCATAAATTTTCCAATTTTGCAATGCTGTAATGTGCTTCTTGCCTCATTTATCATGTACTGCATTTTTGACTTTCTTTAGTACTGTAATATATATAGTAAAATCATGTTAATGTACAGTTGTCATCAGTGCGTCTGCTTACTGAATACTGATCAGTGACTACTATTTTTGTTATATACATAGCAAGATAGTTGTAAACTTGGCCTTCGAAGACAAATGTTTGATTACAATTCTAGCTTCCATGTTTCACAAAAGTTGGAGCCTTAATTTTTACTGTAGTAACTTGCCCATATAATTTATAAATTGATGTAATTTTAGTTAGTTAATAATGTTATAAAAATTTATGTGAAGGTATTGGGGTTAGCCTGAATCCCAACGGGCTTGGACTGAATTTTTTTAAGAGAAGGGTCTGAACTTTTCCGGGCTTTACCGGCTGTTAACAGCCATAAAAAAGTCTATCAAGAATAGAATAATGCTCATTTGAATTTTAGTTGGATGTAATAAATTATGAAAATAATTAATTAAATGATAAATTTGAATCATAATTGATTATGTTATAACGTAATCTATTTGAATATTATTTTTTTAAAATTAATTTTAATAGAATTAAAGATGGTTGGATAATTTAATTAAATTAATTTTAACTATATAAATTACTATATAATTTAATTTTTAAATACTAAATATTAATTTTTTAATGATGCAAAATTTGAATTTTATTAAAAAAAAATTATAAGAAGAGAGTTTAGTTTTATTTTTATTTAATGTTGTGTCTTTTTTATAATTTTTTCTTGAATGTTTCTTTATAATTTTTCTCAATGTTTTTGATCAACTTTTCACAGAAAGCTAATCAAGGGAGCTCATGAAAAAACGCATGTCTTACCCCATAATTGATTTTTGACTTTTTTTGATTGTTTGGATAAATTGACTCAAAAAGTTGATTTTGAGGTAAAAAATCAATTATTTCTCTTATCCAAACACATATATAATAATTCTTTTATAAAAAAAACAAAAAAAAATATTGATTCTAGTTTCTAGTTCTAGCCCAAACAAAAAGCAGAAGTTTGAAAGGTTCGACTTCCGTTCGCCACACCAAAATGAAAAAAAGGACGCCTTAACCAAAACCCAAAAAAAGGAAAAATGAAAAAAAAAAAAAAAGAAAAAGGACGCGTTGAGATTTAGGCAAATAGGGGCCTCCTTTAAACGATGCATTTTTAGAGTTCGACGGGCAGATAGGCACTACAACATTTTTTGTTTTGTTTTAAACAACAGTTTTATTAGCAACAGATTTAAAGCACTGTCTAATGTAAGTATTAGTAACAGTTTTTATATATTGCTATTTTTCTTTTGCTTTAAGCAACAAAGTTTTGGCAACATTTAAAAATTATTCCTTAATATAGAATAGGTAATAATTCACAAGTGTTATAATAAAATTTTTGAATGGACAATATTAAAAACGTTGCTTATAGAGGATTTTTTATGGTAACATTTGAACTTGTTTCCTATTCTAATAGGTAATAAGAATATAAATGTTGTTTATAGATTTTCTTTTTCGCAACATTTAAGAACTATTGTCTTTTGTTTTTCTGCACATAAAAATTTATTTTTATAATTTTTTCTATATAATTTTACTTATTTATTCTCTTAATTTTTCAATTCCTTATTTTCATAATTTGGCTAAATTAAAAAATTAATTTAACACACACACATATAATTTTGTGTTAAAATATCAAATAGTCAAATAAGGAGAGTAGTTAGAGTCACATATTTTATTTTTTTTCCAATAGGTTAAGAGTTCAAATTTATGCATAGGAAGAAAATATAAAAATTTAGCTATTTAATTACTTTGCTACAATTCTTAAATGTCTATTTCACATGATAAGAAACATTTCAAAAGTGTTGCAATAAATTTTTAAAAAATTATTGCCTATTTTCATAATTTAAAACAAAAGTTTTACAAATGATGAAGCTACAAATATAAATATTGTTGCCAAAGTGATAAGCAACATTTAAGTTGAAAACACTTAAAATCTGTTATCCATACTTAGGCAATAATTTTTAAGCTTATAACAATGCTTTTGAATTGTTCTTATACAACAAAAATGTTATAGTGAGGCTAGAGGACTGACCATTCTGTCCGTCCAAATGTCTTCCTCACCGAGGCATGCTTCTGGGCATTCTGTCCTCCGTTAGTGTAAAGTCTGAGAATCGCTAGATAATCTTGTAATTTAAATCTTTAAATTACAAGATTATACTATTAATATCTTGTAATTTAGCCTGTATTCCAACGTGTCATGGTGCTGCTGCTTATTCTTTTTTAACCCTTTTTAAATGAAAGAATCGAAGCTGGTCAAACTACCGCTAGCACGACAGAATCAAAGGTAGGTCTGTCATGGTGCGTCTTTGACGGGTTGGGACTTGCTTCGAAAATCCACAAATTCTGGTTAGTTTCAATGCAGAAAATTTCTGGTGAATGGATTTCGGTGGGGCAATTAAAATTCTTTCTTAGAGAAAATATATCTATTAATCTCTATAATTTTATTGTGTTTTGTTATTAACTTCTCTATTTATTTTTGTTGCTCAAGGTTCCTATAATTTTTTTCACATGCAATATTATTTTGTTTTTAAATATGTTCAGAGTGAGAACAATTTAACACTAATGATATTAAATTATCTAACATGTAACTAATAGTTTTAAATTGAATGTTAAAATAAAAAAGAAAGAGACAAAACAATCACAAAATACAAAATAATGAAGATCAACTAGCAGAAATTAAAAACTTTACCGAACTACACAAAAATAAAATAAACTCTGCCATCAACATTAATAAAAATTAACAACCAATGGCTACAAAATAAAAAACTAGAGTATCTTTGTGTGGCAAATGATTCCAAAGTAAAGGCGTAGTGACAAGTTTGAAGTTTGTAAGAATGAACAAAATAAAATCTAATCTAATATTTGGCATGCAGTGAATCAATATTAGTCACATATTAGATAGTTTAACACCATTAGTGCAACATTATCAACCCTATGAGTATATTTAAAAATAGATGAACTAATATTATAGGAAAAAAAATTATAGGAATCTAAAACAATGAAAGAAGGTACATGAACAAATAACAAAATAAGATAAATCTATAAAAATGAATAGTTTCTTTTTCCTTTAAATGTTTACAAGATTAAAAAAAGAATAACAATGACTAGAGCTAGTAATTCAAATGGGTTAGACTAATCAGAGCAGGCTTGAATACTTGAATTGTAATTTGTTTTCATTTTTAAGCAAATTTTAAATTTGTAACTTTAAAATTAATGATTTTTATTTTACTAAAAATATAAAATATATTTTTTTAGGATACTTAAAAATGTAAGACTCAAAAAAAATTTATTAAAAAAACTATAGGTCTTAAAGTTTGAAAATCATGATTAAAATATATTTTAAATATTATTTGAGGTATTTTAAGATTAAAAATATTATTTTTTTAATTTAAAATAAAATAAAATTTAAAAAATTAATTAATATTTAATATATTAGTCATTAGACACCTCCTGGCTCCTACGACCTATCATCAGCATCTGTGTTCTCATTTTTCATTCACGCCTTTCGGGGCTGAAAATTGGCGGGAAATAAGCCATGTCCTTCATAGGCAACCCGGCCTCGCCTACATTTTCCAAGGCGTTGGAGCTCAAGAGATGCATTCTTCAAGGCTTCGACTCTTTCAAACACCTCAAACATGTCCATGCCCGTATTCTCCGTCTTCACCTAAATGAAGATAATTATCTTATCAACATGATCTTGCGCCGTTGCTTAGACTTCGGAAACACAGAGTATACCAAACTTATTTTCGAACAAACCAAGCACCCAAACATCTATCTGTGGAATACAATGATTCGGGGGTTGGTTTCCAATGATTATTTCCTTGATGCTATTGAAATCCATGGATCAATGAGGAAATCGGGGATTTTACCCAATTACTTTACTTTCCCTTTTGTTTTGAAGGCGTGTGCTAGGCTTTCGAATTTCCAGTTGGGTGTTAAACTTCATTCCCTTGTGGTGAAAGCAGGTTTTGATAATGACGTTTTTGTTAAGACTAGTCTCGTTTGCTTGTATGCGAAATGTGGGGGCCTTGTGGATGCCCAAAAGGTGTTTGATGATATCCCTAATAAAAATGTTGTTTCTTGGACCGCTATCATTTGTGGTTATATAGGGTCTGGACATTTTGAAGAAGCTATTGATTTGTTTCGGGGGTTGCTGGAGATGGGTCTGAGGCCTGACAGTTTTACTCTTGTTCGAGTTTTGCATGCTTGCAGTCGACTGGGCGATTTAGACAGTGGTAAGTGGATAGATACATATATAACTGAGTGTGGCATGCATAGGAACGTCTTCGTGGCCACTTCTTTGGTTGATATGTACGCAAAATGTGGGAGCATGGAAAAAGCACGCTGTATCTTTGATGAAATTCATGAGAAGGATATTGTTTGTTGGAGTGCTATGATTCAGGGTTATGCTTCAAATGGACTTCCTAAAGAAGCACTTGACATGTTCTTCCAAATGCAGAGAGAAAATCTGAAACCTGATTGCTATGCAATGGTAGGAGTCCTCTCTGCTTGTGCAAAATTAGGGGCACTAGACTTTGGAAATTGGGCCAGGGATTTGTTAGATGCTAATGAGTTTCTTTCTAATCTTGTCTTAGGCACAGCCTTGATTGACATGTATGCAAAATGTGGAAGCATGGTGCAAGCATGGAAGATTTTTAAACTGATGAAGGTAAAAGATTATGTGGTCTATAATGCTGTTATTTTAGGACTAGCAATGAATGGGAGTGTTAAAGCTGCATTTGGACTATTTGGTGAAATGGAAAAAACCGGAATCCAACCTGATGAAAACACTTTCCTAGGCCTACTTTGTGGGTGTACTCATGCTGGTCTGGTCCACGATGGTCGTCAATATTTTAAGAGCATGAGTGATGTTTATTCTTTAACTCCTTCCATCGAGCACTATGGTTGCATGGTGGATCTCCTTGCCCGAGCTGGTTTATTAGACGAAGCTCACAAATTGATAAATAGCATGCCAATGAAACCTAATGCTATTGTTTGGGGGGCATTGTTGGGGGGATGCAGGTTACATAGGGATACCCAATTGGCTGAGCATGTGCTGAAGCAGCTTATTGACTTAGAACCTTGGAATTCAGGACACTATGTTCTCTTATCAAATATATATTCGGCAAATCGCAGGTGGGATGAAGCAGAAAAAATTAGATCAACTATGAATGAGAAAGGGATGCGAAAAGTACGTGGGTGTAGTTGGGTTGAAGTTAATGGGGTCGTTCATGAGTTCCTGGCAGGAGATACTTCCCATCCTTTGACAAGGGTGATATATGAGAAGCTTCAAAGTTTATCAAAAGACCTAAGAGAAGCTGGTTATAATCCAACCACAGAGTTTGTTCTCTTTGACATAGAGGAAGAGGAGAAAGAACACTTACTTGGCTGGCACAGTGAGAAGTTAGCTATTGCATTTGCTCTAATCAGTACCCAGGACAAGGATGTGATTCGAGTTGTTAAAAATCTCCGTATATGTGGCGATTGTCATGAGGCCATTAAACTTACGTCAAAAATTACCGGGAGACAGATAATCATTCGGGATAATAACAGATTTCATTGTTTTGCTGATGGATCGTGTTCATGTGGGGATTATTGGTAAAGTTTGGATGTGGTCTGAAGTCCGAACTCACTGTCTACCTCGCTGTAGTCACAGACTACCTCTAGATTGTGTTGATAACTTGGAATGGAATACTATGTTCCATGAAGTTCCACACGTGCTTATTTTGGCTATATATAATGTTGATAGTTTATATTCCTCCATGAGTATTGTTATGGGCTTATGGACTCATGGGAGAAGATGGCTTGCATCCTCGTTAAGATTCCCAAGAAGTTGAGGTGCTGTAAATCCTTTTCAAATTTTAGAGGAAGGGAAAAATGTATTGTATCATATCCTGCAGTCTACTAAGAATTTTGATGTGGCTTGACATGGTATTGCTTATATGAAAGAGAAATAGTTTCTTGTTGGATGCGCCTTCATTCTTGACATTATTGTAACATTTTGTTTCAAAGATGAACTTAAAGGTTGCTGTCCTCCGGGCCCCTTTCTATCTCTATGCATTATGGACTCTCTTCTTTTACTCATCTTTTGAATCCTGCGTAGGACCTTACTCTCTTTTCTTGCCATTTGTCATCAATTTATGAATTTATGAAGTACATTTTGTTTTAAAAAAAAAAAAAAGTTCATGCATCTCCAATCAGGAAATCAAATGGATCCGAGATCGCTTACTAAAATGACACACATTATTTATTAATGAAAGAGAAGTAAGAGACAGTATAGTGTACACAAGATTTCACTGAATACCACATCACTCTTAAATTCGCAACCCAGTTAAATACTAATCTCAAATATTGTGAGATCCTTATAATAGCATACAAGGGACTTCAGATTTGTCATGTCACATTGTTGAATTAATGGATCCTTCCTTCACAGAACATCTTACTAGCAATGGTATTTATTATATTGGCAAAAAATAATGATATTTATTAGAACATACCCTCTCTAAGACACAAAAATGTTGATGATCAAGCGTTCCTTTTTTCTTTTTTCTTTTTTTTTTTGGGAACAAGAGGACCCCAAGCGGGAATTACTGATCATATGTTCCTTGCGTTGACTATTTTCCGAGTGATAACCTTTCGGAAATTTTTATAGGTCTCCTGTGAGTCGTTTGACTACTTCGGTTTAGTCGTTCGACTATTTTTTAGTTTGAACCATTTTTTTCATACTAGCGTTAATCTGTTTCTCGTTTTGATTAAAATAGGATTTTAAAACTTGTCCTTTATTGAAAGTTAGTGCTCCTTTCGCCGCCCCATATTTGAAAGTCAACCCCTTCTCGTCCGTAAAGTTTCAATTCTTCAAGTTGGCTGATCTTGAATAGAAGGCTCTTTCCAGAAAAAAATAAATAAATCATGATCTCCAGATATCATAAAATCGAGATCTAAAACAGTGAGAACTTTGAAACTGACATCTTCCGTTGATATCTTTAGATTAGTCTTACAGATACACGTAATAGAAGACCGAAATTCACCTTATGCTTGTGCGAATTTAGACAACCATCTTCCAAACGATTGAAGGATGGAGAACAGAACGGAGAAAGAGATCGCCGGTCGTCTCCCGCTGTCGGAGGTGGTGGCGGATTGTGTTAAGCGGTGGTTTAAGGATACATTGAAGGAGGCTAAAGCAGGGGATATCAACATGCAAGTGTTATTGGGTCAGATGTATTACAGCGGTTATGGGATTCCCCGAGATGCTCAAATGGTGGGTCGTTTTCTTGCCATTTCGTTTTAACTTTCTGAGCAGCCTTTCTCTTTTGGAATAGCAATCATTTACATGTTAGATACCTTAATCATGTGACTACGAAAATTGAAGATCCTTTGGTCAATGCTAGCCGATCATACCAAATAAGCCATCTTTTGTTAGCTCCGATGAGCCTTCCGTGGATTCTTCTTTTGGTCAATCGATTATGGTAGTTGCGTGGAGACTGTAATGTTTTGCAGTGCTTGGAGAGGTTGATTATGTCTTATGTTTGGATTATAATTTATTCCTAATCAGTTCTTGAACTTCAATAGCATAATTGTCCTCTTGAAAAGAGAAGTTAGTCCGCTAATTTTGTACGTACTTGGAGTAGGAATTCCCAGAGGGCTAATTTTTAGTGATAAAAGGTAACACTTGAGATATCAGAAAGAAAATTAATCATTTCATACCCTGATACATGTATATACGCATATATAGTTTCTCTAAACCCAAAACTACCCATTTCTATTTTTATGTGTTAACGAACTCGCATGTATATGTATTAGAAAGCGGCTTTTTGCATTTCTAATGCTAGATTTGTTTAGTGCTAGTGGTATTTAAACTCGTTGATGTAAGGTGTCACGAGTACAACGAGCAATTGTGCAATTTTGAATTGGAAAGGAACACTGTGTTCTTTGGTTTTGAAGACTAAAATCGTTTGCTGGAAATGAAGGGAAGAATTTGGCTCACCAAAGCATCAAGAACTAGGTCTTCAGTCTGGAAAGTCGGTGATAAGCATCCAGGTAAGTCCTGCCTTACCTGTTATTGGTGACAGATTCATTGTTCTTTTGGCAATTTTTGAAGGAATTCAGAATGACCATGTATCGTTACTAGGTTATAATGCAAGTGATTCTGATTCTGATGAATTGAAGGGTGATTCTTAAGCAGATTAATCATGGTTTATGCCTAAAAATTATGAAGGGTGAGTTATATATCCCTACGTGGCAATCTCTTGTGGCTAGCTGGTTTAGCACCTTACTCTTGTTGCGCCGTGTTTCATGTCTTATGAGAAGTCCTGAAATTGCTGTCTTTTCCTTCTTAAATTTAGTTTGACAAGAACTGAATTTTATGTCTGACTTGGGGAATCCAATGAACAACCAAGAGAGGTCTTGATTCTGTTGAAGCCACTGGGTTTTGGATGTCAAGTGATGTTCAAATCTCCTTTGTAGTCCCTTATTAAAAACTCTATCGTAGTGCCGAAGGCTGAAACTTCATGAAATGATGAACTCTGTAATCTGTTTTAGTGTTCATTCCTAATCTCAACGAGTAATGAAAATCTGTCTTTCAGTTTGATTAATCTGGTGATCTTTTGTCATGTAGGTATGCTTGGCTTGTGGAATCTAGCCTCCGCTCTGGGGTGTTCCCAGGAGCACTTCACAATTTTTCCATCTGGTTTCTGAGCTGTCTGATTTGCCCCCACCATTTTGTCAATCTATGAAGAGTGTGAGCATGCTGCTTTTTGTATTCAAGAATCCAAAGGACATATTGTAACATTAATAATTACTTATTGCGCGAGGATCAACACCATGGTAACTCTATTTCTTCTTCTTCTTCTCGTTTTCAACCTTATCAAACATGGCCTCACCCTTGTCTTTTTTTTTTTTTTAATTATTATTATTATTCTAATCACATAGAATTAGTGTTTGAAGATATGATACTTCAACAACACCTGATTGGAATTGACGATACTTGTTGCTTCTCTGTTGGGTTTCAACTCTGCACCTGAGTAAAACACACTTAAACGGCATCAAATTAGCTTCATTTTTTCCTAGACTGACCACCGTTGGTTGCAAGATTTGCTTTTCATTAAAATAAACGAAATTGTTTCCTTCTAAAATAAGGATGCAGGAAATGAATTGGATAAAAAATGGCTATCATCAATAGCACATGGTACGGAGAGGAAAGAATATTATAAAAATTGTATATCCATTGTATTATTACAATTTCATCCTTTGACCGATATAGGTTGGTATCAGTAGTGTGAGTTCTCATCTTATAAGTAATTAGTTGGATGTTTCATTTCAATACTATGTTATATGGAGTTATCCTAATTAGAAAAAAGTGTATTTTTGTCTTTTGTATTTTAATAGAGAATATTAGTCTCAAATAGACAATAGAGGAAGGGTGATGACATTGATACTTTACATTTTCCCCACGCTCTTGGCTCCTCTACCCTCGATCCTTTGAGTCATCATCTACAATAAATTTGAATAATTTCATGTTAATATTTTGAAAATGGTGATTATGACATCAAAGTTAAAAAAAAATGTACTGGTTAAGTTTTATATAAATAATTAAAATCTTAAAAACAAGAAGAAAGATGAGAAGTCGAATTATATGGTATATCAAAACTTTCAACTCTTAAATTTATCTTATTTATTAATTTAGTTTCTCAAGTTTAATTTCTGTCAATTTTTTCCTTATATTTTGTATATATAGTTAAATGAAAATAAATTAGCACACAAATTAATTTAATTTTTATTAATATAATATTTTACTGTGTGTTTTGTTCTATCTTGTTTTTAAAAAAAATTAAGTCTATTTTATTTACATAAATAATTATATTTTTTTCATTAACTTATAAGGCTACCATAAATATGTTGTTAGATACGTCACGAAATTTTAATAATATTATCTTTTCTTTAAATAATATGAAATAATTAAAAACTAATATAAATTTAAAAGATTAAGTTGATAAAAATTAAATTTAATGAACTAAATTGATAATGGTGACAAATTTGAGAGACAAAAGGTTTCATTTATCTCATTTTCCTACCTAGCATAATATATAGAGAGAATGATAATTTGATAAATCCACTTGGTATTTTAACTTTGTTTGGTGTAATCATATGACAAGTAAGGCAAATTTCTTTTCCTCTTTAACACCTAATTCTACTATCTATCTTATACACATTGATACTTTCTCCTTGCCTTTCCTATCTATTCATGATATATATTTTGTTCTCACCATTAGTTTTAACCTTCTCTCTACTCAGTCCTGCACCTACTCCTTCTATAGGATAATCCTAATACTTTGTAGTTTTTGTTGATGACTTTTCTCATTTTATACGGATTTATATGATGAAACATCAATTTGAGTTACCTAAATTGTATATCAAATTTTCAACTATAATTCACTTTTAATATTCTAAAGTTAGCAAAAAAATTTGTCATGATAATGCTTTGGAATATCATGATTTTGAGGGCATTATTTCTTAGTATGCTTATATGTAAACTTCTCAATAGAATGGTGTTAATAAGCATAAACATTGTCATATTCTTAATTCTATTAGAACATTGCTCATTTCCTCTTCTTGTCTTGAACGTTTTTTGAGTGAAGTATCCTTAACATATGTATTTTGCATCAATCGACTCCCATCTCTTATCATTAGTAACATTTTTTCTTTTAAGCATTTCCATGGTTATCCTCTTGACTATAGTTTTTTAAAAGTCTTTGCTTGTGCCTTTTTTATTCTTCTTCCATCTCTTAAGACAAACAAACTTCAAGTTTATGCTCGCGCCTATTATTTCCTTGGTTATGATTTTGAGCATAAAAGTTATCGTTGTTGAGATTCTCTCTCTCATTGTATTTGCATTTCTCAGCTTATTGTTTGAGAAAATATTAAGTTTCCATCTATAACTAATCTCTTGTTGTTCTCCTCTTTTTCATCTCTTATTTTTATAGATATTTCTGCTGACTTTTTTTCCCAATAACTCAAGTATAGAAAGTATAGACTATTCTATTGAGCTCATTTTTACAAACGACACCGCACCTACTCTAGATGTTCCTATTATCACACCTATCACTCTTCCAGCACCACTATTTTGAAAACCGGACTACGACCAGATCGACCGTCTGGTCTAATTTCCAATCTGGTTCAAAGGAAAAAACCGTTTCAATAGTTGAGCTGGCTTGAGCCGTTTTGAACCGGTGATTCGACCGAGAACCAAAATCAAGTCAGAAACCGGATCCGGTTTTCAAAAACTAGACTGTTCAAAAAAAAACTTTTTTTATTTTTTATCAAATTTTAAAAAATGACTAATTTTTTTAATCATTTGATATTATGTTGTATCATCTGGTTTGTTAAGTCATGATAAACTTAAAATATTTGATTTTTTTAAGTTAAATAGCAATTTCATATGTATTTTTTATATTTAAATTATTATTATATATATATAATTTTTTAATTTAATTATTACGTCAATGGTCCAACCGGTTAAACTATGCGAACTGTGAACTACTGACTTTTTTGATTCAATGTCCGGTCCAGTTTTAAAAACATTGTCCAGCACAAGTCACACCTATAAAGTATTTTTTTAATTCTTTAACTCTAATACTGTCAATTAAAAATGATTACTTTTTATATCAATAATTATTATTTTAAAAAATTAAATTTAATATATCAATATTTAAAAGTATTTTATTAATGTTTAAAAGATTAATGTAAGAATTTTTCATTGTTAAAACTAACAATATTAAAATTAAAAAAATTATAAAATTAAAGGAGTAAAATCGTGTATATAGTTGAAGGTGACAAAAGATGCTTATTGGTCCAACTGCAGTCTCTGCTCTGTGGAGAGGATTGGGTCAAAAGGTGTGGGCGCACTTTGGAAATTTCACATCCATTCCATATAGTATATACCAAGAGTGTTATTCCAATCAAGCATTCCCTCAAACCAAACAGAACGAGTTTTCATGTGCTTTGAATTCTGGGGGCTCAAGCATGAAGGTCAAGCCACAATTTCGACTTTGTTCAAACTTCAAACTTACAAAGTAGGCACTTTTGGCCTCTCGTAATGTATCAATGATGAAAAGCGTACTGGACCATCGAGAAACATAACGACCGTACAAGTATTTGACTTGCGCCCTTTGATTTTGGTTGACCAAAGAGAGCCGCTATGATTTACGGAAATCAATTTTTTAAAAAAAAAAATATAATAATTTTTGTCTCTATAATTTTATTGAATTTTATTTTTAATTTTTCTAATTTTTTTAACATTTTCAATTTCTATAGAGATTAAAATTATTAAAAAATAAAAATTATAGAGATAAAAAAACAAAATTACCTATTTTTTTAAACTATAAAAATTAAAAATATTGAAAAAAAATTATTAGGATTAAAAGTAAAATTTATTTATCATGTTTTTCTTTTTCTTTTTTAGTAATCAAACCTCAGTGCCTCATTGCAGTAAAAAGATGGTACTCCAGATACTAACACAATATACACATATGAAAGTGTGTACGGAACTCAATGTTTCGTCATAGCTCAGTTTTAAAGCCAGAAGGGCTCACTGACTTTCAAATTAAGAAAACATAAACTCACCAATTTTATAATTTAAGAGTGGGGTTGTGCTGGGATTTTAAATTAACAAAACAACTCGTATTATTTATAGCTTACATATAATATACTTTCTTCGTTAAAAAATATAAAATATTTTTTAAAAGGTTGGATGTTTAAAAGTATAAGACATTTTAAATATTTTAAGATATAATCATTATTTTTTTAAAGTATCCTTATTGAATAAATTACTTTATATTTTTTAGGGTGAAATGCTTTATTAAATAGAATTAAATATAAAAAAATATAATTAGTTTATTGACAGTGAAATTCAGTCAAAAATGTCTTACATTTTTAAATAAAAGGAATATGAGTTATTTGCAAATTGCATGAGATTTGAGAAATGAGACCAGTGATTCATAAATAGTAAATAATAAGATTTTTCATAGATTATATATGTATGCATGAAGATCACGATTCATTTTCATAACAAGTGGATTTTCAAGAGTAACACTTTAATTTGGACCTAATTAAATAACTGATGTTAAAGAAAGAACTTGTTGCCATTTAAATTTTGAATTTTCACTGTGAGTTCAGGCTAGACATATTTACTCTGATAAAATTAATTATAGATTAAAACGTATTCCTTTGAAACTTAACTATTATTCTTCAAAAGAAATTATAAATTCAAGAGTTTTAATTTCAATACATGAATTTTCTATATTTTTATGCATTTTAATATTGTATAAATGTCTCAAACCCAAATATATAGAACCTAAGATGTTTTGGATCGTCTCCGGTCATGTGAACTGTACGTTTTGTTTTGTTTTTCCCTTCTCCATAGTTTTAGTTACATGATTAACAAATTTATTTATTCATGAATCGCCATGGGAATTTTCTTTAATAGATTTCCCTTTCTGTTAGCCACAGAAATGCCAATAACTTTTGACTAAACCCAGCTCACAAAGTCTTGATTCTTGATTCTTTTATTATTAAAATTGCTTTTCAATGAATCGAATCATTAGGACAAATAACAAACTAGGCATCTAGAGGTAGGTATTATCTCAGAGAAAATTATATCATTTTTCAATGTATAAAAACTTATAAATGTTTGTATACATGATAAGTTAGCCAACTCGGTTTATTTAATTTTAAAATTTGTTAATTAAATTGAATTGATCAATTAAATTTTTTTTAAAATAAAAATTCAATTAAATTGAATGACTGAATAAACTGAATTAGATAAATTGAATTTGATTTACTTCGATTTGA